GGCCGCCGGGTTCTCCGCCTGTCTTCAAGGCGCGCTACGTGGCTCGAGGCTTCAGTCAGCGAGAGGGAGTAGACTTCTTTCAGACCTTCTCCCCCACCCCGAAGATGACTACTCTTCGGGTGCTGCTGCACATAGCCGCTCACCGCGACTACGAGCTTCACTCTCTTGACTTCAGCACTGCTTTCTTGCAGGGCAGCCTGCACGAGGAGATCTGGCTGCGCCGCCCCCCTGGCTTCACTGGGTCAGTTCCTCCTGGCACCCAGTGGAGGCTTCAGCGGCCGGTCTACGGTCTCCGCCAGGCGCCACGTAAGTGGCACGACACACTGAGGACGACACTTGCGGCTCTTGGGTTCGCTCCCTCTACTGCTGACCCGTCGCTGTTTCTACGCACCGACACCTCGCTGCCGCCGTTCTACATCCTCGTGTACGTCGACGACTTGGTCTTTGCCACTGCTGACACCGCGGCACTCGCCCACGTGAAGTCGGAGCTGCAGAGGAGACACACGTGCACAGACCTGGGTGAGCTGACGAGCTATCTTGGCTTGCGGATCACCCGGGACAGAGCACGGCGCACCATCACCCTGACTCAGTCACACATGGTGCAGCAGGTTCTCCAGCGCTTCCGCTTCACGTACTCCTCGCCTCAGTCCACTCCTCTGCCTACCGGTCACTCGCTCTCAGCTCTGCCTTCGGATGAGTCCGTAGAGCCGAGTGGCCCGTATCCAGAGCTTGTGGGCTGCCTCATGTACCTGATGACCTGCACTCGACCTGACCTTGCATACCCTCTTAGTATCTTAGCACGCTATGTCGCTCCTGGCCGTCACAGGAAGGAGCACATGGATGCTGCTAAGAGGGTGTTGCGCTACTTGTGCAGTACGTCGGGCATGGGGCTTGTGCTTGGAGGGCGAGACCGGGTTGTTCTCACAGGGCACTCAGACGCTTCCTGGGCAGACGACCAGGCTACTCAGCGGTCGTCACAGGGTTACACCTTCAGCCTTGGCTCTGGCTCAGTTTCTTGGCGTTCTACTCGTTCGTCTTCTGTTCTCAGCTCCAGTTGTGAGGCTGAGATCTACGCCACAGCCATGGCTGCTCAGGAGCTGCGCTGGCTGACCTACCTGCTGACCGACCTCGGAGAGCGGCCTCGTTCTCCTCCAGTGCTGTACGTCGACAACAAGGCTGCCATTGCCTTGTGTGAGGAGCACAGACTGGAGCACAGAACAAAGCACATTGCCCTGCGGTACTTCCTTGCTCGAGAGCTGCAGCAGCGCGGTCAGCTTCGTCTGCGTTACGTGGCCACTGAGGCCAACACTGCTGATGTGTTCACCAAGGCACTCCAGCCTTGTGACCATCAGCGCTTCTGTACTCTGTTAGGCCTTGTGCCTACTGGGCCTCACTTGCTCACTTCTTGACTTTGCCTGTACTGTGATCACTATATATTTGTATACCTGCATGTTTACTCTTGCTAGGTTGTGATCATTGTACGTCTTGCTCTATTATAAACCTGCATGTGAACTGGTCTTGTGACCGCTTGCTTGTGCTCGGAATTTGTGTGGAATCCTCGAGATCCACCCTGAGCTTGTTGTTGCCTTGCTTTGCCCTGACTGGTCTTGTGACCCCTAGGTCTCCTCCACTTTGCCTATGGGGGTGTGTCAAACATTATATGTTTGTATTGCTCTAGCCTGTAGTGGGTGATACCTTAGGGGGTACACCTAGTTAGGGTTTCACATTTGTACTCCTGTTCCTCTTAGTCACACTCATTCCAGTCTCGTAATCTTGACATCTGCGCATGACCCGAAGTGGGCTACCGAGCCGCGCGCGGCCCCAACTTTGGGTCAATCTGCAGGTGTTGGGCGACTGACGTGCACGACCCACCCCCAACCAATCACCTGGTTGGGCGATTCTGGTTTTACTGCCATCTTTTTGGCGGTCGCCAGTCGAGTGTCACAAGAAGGCAATGTCCCACGTCTTACACCTCTGCACCCAACCACTCGGCAAATTGACCCCAGTGACCATGAGTGTCGCTAAAATTTCCCGCGCCGCGCTCCCAACATTTGGGGATTCACGCCGGGAATTTTGATGATTGTGATTTTTTTTTTTTTGGGTATCGCGTGGTTTTGCGTGGGTCTCGCTAATGATCTTTCGAACTGTTATGGCATCCCTCCATTGGATGCGACTGTTGTGGGGAGCGTGATTTTGGCGCGAAAACCCTCGCGGCATTTTGGGGGTCGCATGAGTTCTGAGGACCCAACGTTGTGTTTTATGTTGTTTGGGTCATCCGCAAATCGCGCATGCCCGGAACAGTGCTAATGACCCGAACCTGGATACGCCCTTGGTATTGTTCCGTTTTATAGAAAACTCTCCGTACAGGTACTGCTGCCATAGGCATGGTGTCTGTTTGATGTCGTAGAATGACTTCGGGAATAGATATTCACTGGATTCGCCTTATTTGAAAGCGTGCGGTTATTCAACGTAGATTCTTATGTTGACGAGGGTGCTGTGGAAGGCGTTGGAGACGTCAATCTGGCAGGGACCAACATGTTTGTCGGTGGTGATGTAGAATAAGATTCAAATGAAGGTGTAGCGCAGCGTCCCAGCCAGGCCTCTGGATAGGATTTGAGGTGCTCTTTTGCATCAGGCTAATCTTTTCCTTATACTCTTTCTGTAAGGGTATGCAAAAACAAACACGGTCGTACACAACCTATTATGTTTATGGCTACTAAGTATCGCCTTGTGGTTGTGCAGTCGGTTGTACTGCGCTGACAAAGTGAAGCACGCAGGCTCGATACTTGAATTTGTCTGCGCACGAATTTTGCGATTGCGATGTCTTTTCCGAAGAAATCTGCTTATACCCTGTAAGAAGTCGCTAGGTATCGTAAGTGTTGTTACACCATCGCACTCTGAAATATCAGGGTCATAAAATCAAACACTTTTTCTTGTAAGGGTCTAAACAAAACCCGCTCTTGAAAAAAAGGGTGCAAACGGAAACCCACCCTTATAGTAAGGGTCATAAGGGTGAATCACCCTGATATCGAGAGGCCAGGTCCCAGCGGTAGCGAATTTTTGATCGTAGTCGATGAATTGAGTTTGCTCGAATCCGTGCACGAACCATCGTGGCTTGTATTTTCGATGGAACCGTCTGCTTTTATCTCTATGCAGAACAACCATTTGTCGCTGTGGATTTTCCTATTCTTTGCAGCTAAGCGTGGGACCATTTTCCAGGTTCCTTGGCGCTTTAATGCTTCTCCCTTGGCATTCATGGCTTCCCTCCACTTCTCAATAAATGATGTGAAGTGGTTACAGGAATGAAAGTCCGTGAGGCAAACGATTAAGGAATAGTGAATCCATTTTTACCTTTTATTTATGTGCATACTCATAACACACGCATTCTTGAGGAGTACACGAAATGCTGCCTGGCAATTGCTGGATTCAGGAAAGCTGCCCAGATATGCCAAATCTGGATAGCTGGTCTGCGGAGGACGGATGGGATACTTCCTACAGTGTCTTGCGTGGTCAGTCAATCTTCAGTGTCAATAAAGAAAAAGTGGGAAAAAAAAAAAAAAAACACACATTTAGGACGTGTCATGGTTTGCCTCTGATCGGCGGTGATCTGGTCGGGGCTGATCTGATGGGTACCCCTGATTACTGTGCTCGAGCCGCCCGATCAGATAAGGTATTCTTCGGATATTCGAAGAGGGTGCGTGGTAAGCGTTTCACCATTTCCTGACACTTTCGTGCCCACTTTGGCTAGGGCGAGGACTCAGCCTGGATCTAGCGAAGCTCTTTGTTACCCTGAGATTTCGCGTAAACCGGTTCCCAGAAACCCAGGGTGGTTGTTTGAGCGAGGAATACACGAAACCAGTACAGCACCGTAACTTTTCGCTGGCGTCGCCTGCTACCCCATACCAATGCAATCAACTGATCGTCGGTGATTGTGTGGGTTTGTGTTTGATTGGGCTGTTTTACGCGGCTGATCGTGTTGGGGCGATCGATTGATCGCGATCAAGTGATTCCCCCCGATTGCCTGAAATCGCCACCTTAGCTTCCCAGAAGTTGTTTAACGCCTCAGTTCGGGGCAATCAGAGGCGAACCGAGACTGTCTAGCACTCCTGTGTCGGTCTCATCAACGTCCAGAGAGTATTGCCTGCTTTTTGCTCCCGTGTACAGCTTGAGTGTTTCACGCCAAACGCAAATGTTTCCGTCAAGTATTCGTTAGGTAAATATATTGCACTGCCAGCGTCAGCTGGCAGTGCAATCGAGTCAGCAAGCTGACCGCGGGCAAGAAAAAAACCCCAGTCGGAAGGCATTGTTGGTTGCCTCGAATTTCACAACTACGTTGTTCTGGGCTGATAGCAAAAATATTAGCGGAGAAAATGTCCGAAACAAGAGCCCAGGAAAGTTTGGTCCACAGAGTTTGCCAACATTCAGGGACTTGCTACTGTAACCGTTTTGGCTGATAGCGCGACAAGACATGCTGCTTCGCAGTTCCGCTTTCTGTCTTGTAACAGACCAAACATCAGTTGTACAGCAAGGCAAGCCGCGTTTAGCACATGCCCAAACCAATCCCCTCCCCAAACCACCCTTTTCTATTCCCGCCCCGCCACTGCTCACCTTCTTCACCCGACCCGAACATTCAGACAACACCCCCAACCCAACAACCTTGACATACATGCGCGAGCGAGGCAGCATTCACGTGGAATTTGGGATAGCAAACCACCTCTCAGGATTAACAACCAACAGAATTTTAACTCACTCCACTTGCCCTCCCAAACCACAGTCAAGGGTAGTGGTAGGTAGCAAGCCGTCGAAGTACATACCTACTTTTGAGACTTCCCATCCCAGCCTCATTCCCTTGTTGAAGCCTTACAATTTACAACTCACGACGACCATTTCCACATTCACCAAGTAGTTGGAGTCATAAGCTACTAGGATTCGTCGGAAGTACGTGCCTTCGATTTTTTTGACCGCATTTGTGACTTATCTGTCTTAGCGAAGTGTAAGAAATGGAACACAAAAATATCGTCTCACTCGTCCTTTTACTGCTCGTCGTTAACGCGTCAGTGTCGCTAGCAGACGGCGACTCGCCAGCTTCATATGCCTCACATTTCAAGAGTCACATGCAAAAGTTGATCGGGTTGCCCCTGGAACAGACGCGACACCAGAAGGTATCGCGAATTCTAAGAGAAGACACTCTCGCGTCGGACACGCAGAGCGAGTCTGGCAATGTCGACGAGCGGAATGAGCGCCTGCTGCTCGACACGGCGACGAAGCTCGGTCTGGCGGCGCCGCCGCTTAACTCGGGGCCGAGTATGGCGACGGTGAACATGTCGTTCTACCGCTGGGAGAGCGTCACGCCGCCGCCCGTCGTGGATTGGCGCACGACTACTTCGATTACGCCCATTCAGACTCAGTTTCAGGTGGGTGATTTACAACTCCACTGCCGCTTGCTGGGGCCTTTTCCTTTTCCGACTTCCTTTCTCCAAAAATGCGTCTTCATCCAGACTCCTTTTCGGTTTTCTTGCTGTTTCTTGCCATCTTCATAAGATAACATACTCAGCAGTGGCGTCTCTCGACCGTTGACGTGCGGACGCGGCTCGCTGAAGCTGCTGGGTTACTTATGACGCCAAAACTCACGGAACTTCTACGTCTCCCTTCTCCTCCTTTTCTCGCAGTGCTCAAGCTGCTGGGCGATCGCAACCATCGATTCCGTCGCCATGATGTGGTCCATTGCCAACAACGCCGTCGCAGAACAGCTGTCGCCGCAGCAGGTGTGCGACTGCGCGACGAAGCAGTGCTGCCAGGGCGGGTGGCCCGAGTGGGCCTTCTCCTACGTGCTCTTCAACGGCGGCGTCACGTCCAACGCCAACTACCCCTACCTCGCCTACGATTCCGCCACGTGTCTGCTCGACACAACCATGCCGTCCACGGCGCAGATAACGGGGTGGGAGCTGGTGCCGGCATTCAACGCCATGGCGCTCATGAAGGCCGTGACAAAGCAACCTGTCGTCGCCTTCCTTAGCGCGTCGTCCACGGACTTTGTGGTACGCTCCCCAGTCCCAATGATTTCACATATCATGTTTCCGAATCCTCCCCACGTGGTTCCTTTTCTCTCTGCGTTTACGAATTGTTCAACATTTACCCCCGTTCCGCCCCCCCCACATCCTTCGACACTGATTCGGTAAGCCGCAATGCGTGGCAACATCAGCTGACGGTGTTCAGCACGTCAATGCTTTCATGCGGCTCTGCTTCCATCGCCCACAATAGAGCCGAAAACCGTCTTTTGAACCATGCATCTAACGGTTCCCTGTTCATTGCTTCGTCCCGCCATCCATCGAACCAAGTCCTCCCGTTCTTCGTTCTTGCTCCCCGTGCTACGGGTCACTCTCCTTGTCAATAGTTTTGACGCGTCTCTCTTCCCCGCCGCTTTCCGGTGTTTCTCGTCCTTCGTTGCCGCAGATGTACAAGAGTCGCGACGTGCTCAACATTTACAACGGGCTTTGCACGAGGGAGGTGAACCACGCGGTGGTGGTGGTGGGCTTTAACTACACGGGCCCTAGCCTCGCCGGCAGCTACTGGATTATAAAGAATTCGTGGTTCGAGACGTGGGGCGACCACGGCTACATGTACCTCGCCATGACGCCCGACGTGCGCGGGAAATGCGGGATTCTCTCGTGAGTGCTTCGCTCCCGCTGTTCTCTTTGTTCATCTTATAGTCTGCCGTGATTCGCGCGGCGAAAGTCGTGCGTCAGCTTCGTGAAGGTCTGCGTTCTGTTTTCTCCTTGAGACACGGGCTCCCATTTCCTCGTCGTAAACCGCGCTACATCCCGAAAAAAAAAGAAGGGCGGAAAACAACTGAAAAGTTTCTGCCCCGTAACTTTTCCGTTGCATTGCGCTCGCAGAAAAAAAAAAAAAAAAAAAATTCTAGTCAGAAACCGAGTCGCCTTTTTCAGCAGCATTTTCCGGAGCACCCGGTTTGCTCGCCGTTTGCCATCCCTCACCTCCCCAGCGCCATTCGATTTCATCCCCCTTTTCCGCGCAGAACCCCCGCCATGTACCCCGTCTACTTCCCATCCGGGATGCAGCCGGCGCGCTTCTCGTCCGACAAGCGCGGCAACTGGAAAATTAACAAGGTGGACGACCTCTCGTCGTCGCTCTTCTCCTCCACCCTCTCCCTCGACGCCACCACAACTACCACCACCACCACTACCACAACCACCGCTACGGTTGCGTCGTTCAGCGATCCGACGATCACCGATTCTTCCTCTATGCTGATTGGATCCACCACTATTTCCGCTACATGCGCGGGGATGATCAACCCGTGCGGCGGAGGCGTTTGTTACATGAGCGGCGGAGTTCCGCGGTGCAACTGCAGCGCGCTGACGAATATGGTTGAGATGCCGGGACTGCCCACATCTAAGTGCGTGCCGCGAAGTCCCTGCACGACGGCTGCTGTGAATCCCTGCGCCGGCGGAACGTGCAGCGATGTGGGCGACGGGACGTACACGTGCGCGTGCTCTGCGGGTTACGCCGTGGGCGCTGCTGTCGACGGTTCGCCGACGTGCATGCCTGCGGCTGGACTCGCAAAATCTTATGTTACCCTTCCTGGCGACAACTGCACGTTTGTCGCGACAGCTTTCGGGATTTCGACGACCACGCTGACAAACCTAAACACTTTCATTAACTGCTCCGTTACAGAATACCTCCCTCCCGGGATTGCACTCACAGTATCAGGAATCGTCACTTCCCTATCCTCATATTGCACCAACACATACACTGTCCGACCTTCCGATACCTGCTGGTCAATCGCGAATGCTTACTTCAATGGCTCACTGACTTCACTTACTGCAATCAATCCTGGCGTATCATGCAAGCGCCTGTTCAAGTCGCAGCAAGTATGTCTTCAAATGGTTTCTGCATCTTCTACGTCTTCTGCGACACAATGCGGGCAGAGTGTCGTAGTGGCCATGGGGGACACGTGCGCTTCGCTTTCCACCAAATACGTCATCAGCACGTCGTCTTTCGTAACGTAAGTTCAATACATTTGCTCTCGCTTTTTTTATTCAGTCTTCGGCGATCTCCCTATCTCCCTCTCCGCACCTATTTCAACTTTTTTCTTTGAGCAACATCTAGTGCCCGCGGGCCCTTCCTCATATTACTAATTTTCTTCTTCTTTTTGTCTTCGCTGCAGCCTCAACCCAGGTATCAACTGCAACAACCCCCTCATTGTTGGAAGTTATGTGTGTGTGGCGCCGAAATCATCCGCTGTAAGTTATACGCGTCAGCAACCTGATTCTTCTTTCCTCTATCCCCTCCCCTTGGCTAACTTCTGATTCTTCTGCCACTGCACTTGTTGCCTCTTCTGTGTCTCCACTACCTCTCTCGTGTGGTGTCGCTGCTTCTTTATCTCATCTCTGTGTCCCAATTTCCTTCCAATTTTCCTTTTCCGGTGTGCAGACAACCATCAACTGCACGGGGTGGTACCGGGTGATGCAGGGCGACACATGCCCCTCCATCTGGAATGCAGCCAACCTCACCATGTCCATGTTCCTCGCCATCAACCCGGGCATCCAGGTACTTCGTTCTCTGAAGCTTTACATATCACCATACCTCAAGCACATACCATCCCATACCCCAAATGGGCACATGCCGTTGCGTACCAACCCCCATACCACACCATACTGATGTCAGCCTCCTAACCACTCTCTTCCTTTCTCCTCCTTCTCCCCTTGCAGTGTCAGGCTCCCTACCTTGGGATCGGCCAGCAGGTCTGCATCGACTCACCCATCCTCGCCACCATGCAGCGAGCCCCCAACGTCTCCTACTCCATGTACACCGTCCGGCCCGGTGAAACCCTCGCCGATATCTCCTCCATTTACGCGCCCCGCTGCACGGCCACCTCCATTTCGCCTGTCAACATTGCAGCTGCGAATTTCATCGTGAATGCATCAGCTCCGCTCGTTAATGGCACGCAGCTGATCATCCCCTGTATTGGCCGCGTCGGTATAGTCGATTGTGGTTGCGCAGCATCTCTCCAAGTGTGCGGGGCTGACATGGTGACCTACCCATCCTACTGCGACGCCCTGTGTAACTACGCAGTCCCGCTCATCTCAGATGTGCCCTGTGTTGGCGGATGTGTAAGCGCGTGCTTCAACCGCATGGGCCTGGCTCCTCTCTCTGGCTACGGCTGTACCCAGTCTATCTGCCCGTACCCCTCATGGCCATTTGACGCTCCTTCCGACTGCTCGATTATAGTTGGCAATGTCACAGGTCCCTGCTGCACCTACAGGAGGAATGCTTGTGATCAGTCGTGCACTGATACTGCAGCTACACTCGGGGGTACAACCACTCAACGTACTGCCAACTACAACTCCTGCTTCAGCCAGTGCATGTGCTGCACTGCCAATTCTTGCGGTGCTGGCTCGTGCAAGGCCCCCTCATCCTGCTGGTCGGCCAGTCCCCGGCAGTGCATCTATGCCAACTATCAGTACACATGGAACTGTACTTATTTTCCAGCTGACAGTCCTCTTCCTTAGCCAGGCCCTGCGTTCCCTAAAGCTGCTTGTGTTGTTTATCATGACTTCAATAGAAGTCCTGTATATTAACTTAAAAAGCTGATCGTTGTATATTGAGCAGCTGGTGCAATATAGGTATTGTTACACTTTTAATGGACGATGTGAAGATTTGATCTGGTCCATTAGCCTAACCAATTCCCCATTCCCTGAAGGGTCTGTACAGGCTTGGCCTTATCCCTAAACTCCAAACCTACTCCGAACCTACCCTGTTAAGGCGATCATTTTGTTAATTCTGCACACTCACACTCTAAAACTCAACATAACCAGTAATGTCACCGTAATAACGAGTAGTTGGGCACTTGTCCTCTATTGGAGGATGCAATTTGAAACTTCGCCGCCTGCTTCGCTGGCAAAGCACCGCCGCAAACTGGGGTCTGTGGTTTGCCAATCGGGTTCGGGGGAGACTTCCGTTTAATCGGACGGTCAACAACACCTCAAATCCAGCTCTGGTGGGTCCATTTCGCCCTTTTGCTGCATCCCCTTGGGCTTTGGCACGGGAAGAGCAGAAGATTGTTCCTGTCTTGGTGAGGTGGAAGGTTGAGCAGCGAGCCCAACTGGGCTGACCACGTGCTTCAAACGAGGATTACACCTTTTTTTGCCTACTTCTCCACAACGCATCTTCCCCCACACAAGCATTTTCCGCCTTCCTGTGTGCCAATCACCAACCTGTCTGCTGATCCTAGAGCCTTTTCTGCCTTTTTGCTGAAGATTCAAGTCAGGCAGTCTCGTGCTTCGTTGTTCGTGGGTTTGATCCCGTTGCGAAACATCATCAGCCATGGCTACTTTCGCAGAAGCCCCTGCTGGTAACCCCGATGCTGGAGCTAAGATCTTCAAGACTAAGTGTGCTCAGTGCCACGTGGCCGAAAAGGGTGGTGGTCACAAGCAAGGTAGGACGATCGGTTAAGGAAAGAATCTTTTGACCTTAGTCGATCACACGCGAGCCTTACCGCTCATGGCATTTTCTATCACAGGTCCGAATCTGGCCGGGCTTTTCGGCAGGCAGTCTGGAACCATCGAGGGTTACTCGTACTCAAATGCCAACAAGAACGCTGCAGTCCTTTGGGGAGAGGAAACCCTTTACGACTACCTTTTGAACCCTAAGAAGGTAGGCTTCTCCTTATAGGATGGCCTCTTTCGTTTTGGTTTACAGACTCTTTTTGTCGCAGAACCGTGGATCGAACCTGAGTTCCATGTTTTTCTGATCTATCATCCAATCCTTCGTTCCCCGCAGTACATTCCCGGCACGAAGATGGTCTTCCCAGGACTGAAGAAGCCCCAGGAGAGAGCGGATCTGATTGCTTTCTTGAAACAAGCCACTGCATGAAAAGACTATGTATGTACTCCCATTCATTCAAAGATCGATTTGACTTGACCAACTTCAGGGCGCTCGGTCGCCAGTAGAACCGGTATATTATCAATAATGAGCAAGCTGGTCACGGGCTCTTTACCAAGAAGAGCATAGTTCTGCAATGCTTGGTGGAATGCACGGCAGCCATGGCACAATGGGCTGTGGTCCGCCACATGTTTCACAAGAGAACGCATGGAATGGAGCTCTTCGATAGTGGAATGACAAGACACGGTTCGAAACATGTGCAAACAGCCTTCAATCTTCAGCTGAGCAAGGTGACCTAAAAATGACACTTGAGTCATGCGCACTAGTGCACAATGAATTGCACAAAGCCCTAGGGTATAAGCTACAACTCCGGAGGACATTCTTCTGCAAGCACTGTGAGTGTGTTGATGTCAGAACCCATCATAATTGCCCTGTCATTGGCTGCCATATGGCGGATGATCTTGTAAACTGTCTCAATCTGAAAGCGCAATGGTGTGTTAGCAGAAGCAAAGGCAGAAGATGGGCAATTTAAAGCTCGCGGCCCAAATTGCGAAGTGCGCGGAGCAACCTTAGTAATCTTGACGGGGAAGGGTGTGTGGTGCCAAACTCAAAAGTCGGAAACAAAACTTGCGTCAAAAACCACCTGAAAAACACCTGGTCGACCTTACTAAACTTGTGCAACTTGGGCCGTGAGCGTGAAAGCATAAAAGGACACATTCCAGCAAGACAACTGGGAACAGACAAGAACCAACAAGGTAATGACATATGCGAATGCAACCGCCTGCAAGACCTTAGGTGCTCAACAAGCCTGATTGCCACGCTGTTAGTTGCCACGCTGTGCCAACTGCATGCATTGTGTGATGCATGCCCCTCACTATGTGTGGCAAATGCCTTTCTTCATGCTGCTAAGTGCAAACCGCACATTTGGCCCACACAAAGAACGTATATGCACACTCACTGTGACTCTGCCACTCATTGTTAACTCAGACAACCCAATTTTCTGATTCAGCATTTGCATTCTCACCTGTGTTTCAGCATCTGCACTCTCACCTGCGCCTCTGCATGAGCACGCTTGGCGATCTCCTGGATGGTAAGAGCTTCCACTGGGTGCTTGCAGCTGAGGACACAAACACGGGTGTGGCAAAGGCACGTGTGAGAATCCCAACAAGATGAGAGCGAATGATAGTCTTGAGGAGTGTTGGAAGGTGGAGCTTCCACTGGGTGCCTGCAGCTCCGTTGTGCTGATCATAACCACACGTGGCAAGCAGCGGCAAGTGTGATAGCGATAATTACAATGACACAAAAGTGAACAAGTGACAGTCTTAAGGAGTGTTGGATGGTGGAACTTCTAGTTTGTCCTTGCAAGCAGCTGATATGAGAGCAGGGAAAGTGTGGCCATAACAAATGCGGTGACCATGATGACGGGGGAATGAAGATGACGATAAGTGACAGTCCAATCCCCACAGCCTTGAAAGCAATATATCGTGGCCAATGGTGGCTGACACGAGAAATACACTCACCCCTCAACTTCACCCTTTCACCTCAGCGACCACCTTACTTTGCAGCCATGGTACCCACCTCCCTTCCAACCCTCCCCCCTCCCGTTCTCCCAGATGCCTGCCTTCTCTGGCTCACCTCGCCTCGTTGACCACTGCCTGCACTCTCTTCTGCAGCGTCAGCACCTCTGCTGCTGCCTTCTTGCCCGCCTCCACTCCTGCCGGCACAGCAACGCATGGGGCAATGGGTTATGGTTTATGAGGCATGGCACACGGGGCATGGGGTGTGGGGTATGGAAATGGGTACGGCGCACAGGGCACGGGGCACGGGGCAAACACGAGGCACACGCACCTGGTTGGTGGTATGCGTTGACGTTGATGAGTGAGGCGTACAGCCCCGTGGCACGCTCATAGAGAGCAATGATGGCGCCCACTGTTGCTGCATCCACGTCCTTTATGGTCAGCGTGATGGACTCGCGCTGGTTGGCGTACAGAGCAGAGCGCGTGCCCTGTGGAGGGAGAGGGGGTTGTGGGGGCGTGGGGGAAGAGCCAGGTGAGGGGGCGGGGAAAAAGGTGATGGAGCGCCCCCTGGGGAAGGAGAGTTGCATCCGGCTCCCAGTGGCAGTCTCTCCCAGTGGCAGTCTCTCCCAGTGGCAGTCGCTCCCAGTGGCAGTCGCCCTGCCAGTCCGAGAACCCCCCACGCACATATCACAAGTACCCCTCTTTGCCGCATTCCCAGCGTGCACCCACTTCCCATGCCCCAACCCCCCCTTACCCACATGCACCCTTCTCTTCCCCTTGCCGTATCTACCTACCTAAAATTCACCCCTTCCTCTCCCCCACACGCACCTGCAGCAACCCAAAGAGGTAGTTCCCTTCCCGCACGTGACCCCCGGCTCCAGCTCCCAGTCGCGCCCATTCTGCTGGTCTGTGAGTCTCTGACTCGCTCTCTCATCCCATCCCAGATGCTCTCCTTCCTTCTTTCCCCTCTCCCATCGCACCTGCAGCAGCCCAAAGAGGTAGTCACCGCACGTGACCCCCGGCTCCAGCTCCCAGTCGCGCCCACTCTGCCGGTCTGTGAGCACCTCGATGAACGTGGCAAAGAAGTTGGGCACGCCCTCCCTCAGCTGCTGGATGTACCTGCGGGGGCAGGATGGGGAGATGGGGGACGGGTGGGGATAGGTATGAGCATATATCCGAACGGGCTTTTTTTTTGCCCAAAAATGTTCGGCTCGAACATGTTCGCTGTTCGTGCGAACACGTTCGGTGTTCGCCGGCGTCGATGTGCCGAGCCGCGTCGAACATGAACATGTTCGTGTTCGACGCGGTACATCGACGAACACCTCTGTGTTCATCGACGAATTGGCCACGGCCTAATTTAGGGTTGCGGCCAATTCATTTGTGGCTCATTTTTTAGAGCTCCGCGACCATGTCGCTGCCAACAGCCCGCCCAGCCCACTACCACCTGCCACACCCTCACCTACTAGTACTAGCCTAGTGGAGAAGATGCTTCAATTTTTGCGCAAAAATTGAACCCTTCCACAAGGATGCATTGGCAGTGTTGTAATCATGTGTGTTGTAATGCTAAACCCTCTGGGGCGAACACGCCGTGTTCGCCATTGTGTTCGAAATGTTCGCCTCTCCAGGCGAACTTCGAACACCCCTTTGGGCCAAACCTGTTCGGCGAACCAAAGAGTGTTCGGTTTGCCGAACGGCCATGTTCGAGCCAAGGCGAACGCGAACACGTTCGTGTTCGCCTCGTGCTCATCCCTAGGTGGGGAAGGGGGTTAGAGGAGGGAAGGGGGTTGGAAGAGGGAAGGGGGTTAGAGGAGGGAAGGGGGTTAGAGGAGGGAAGGGGAGGGAAGTTGGGCACGCCCTCCCTCAGCTGCTGGATGTAGCTGCTGAGGGGGAGGAGGAGGGAGAGTTGGAGGGATGGGGATGGGATTAAAAACCAGGGGGTGAGAAGGGGGTGTGAGGAAGGAGGGTGTAGGGAAGGGAGTGTGGGGAAGGGGGCGAGGGGGAAGGGGCGAGGGGAAGAGGGTGTGGAGGGAGAAGGAAGAGAGAAGGTTGGTTGTCGGGTGTTGAGGAAGCACTTGCAAGACGAAGGGGGTGGGGGAAGAGGGGGTGGGGGGATGAGGGGGAATGGAATTGAGGAAGGCAGGTCCGCTGCAATGCCAAGGAAAACGGCTGATGATCGCTATTCTCCCCCCCCACACCCACCCGCCCAGGCAACCCCCACCCACCCGCCCAGCCAGCCAACCCACCCACCCATCCAAACCCACCCATCCCCACCCCACCCATTCCCACCCCACCCATCCCCACCCATCCATCCCCACCCCCCACCCCACCCATCCCCACCCAGCCCCACCCATCCCCAGCAGGCACTCACGCGTGCTGGTCCGTGCTGCCCTTGTTGCCATACACTGTCAGCCCCTGGTTCACCTGCACGCGCACACACACACACAGCCACCGTGCACACAAGGGGTGGGACATTGCGACGGGTGAGGTGGGGTGGGGTTGCTGTGGCCTGTGCAGCCCTGGTTCATCTGTACACAGCAGCACACAGCATGTAACCCAAAGCCCAAAGCCCACACCACACAGAGCACAGCACAGGCAGCACGGCGCACAGAACAGAGTGCAGCTTTCAATTTCGAGTCCAGCCCAGCCTCTCAATCACCTCGTTACGCAAGCACTCACCTGCTTGCCGTCAAGATCAAACTCATCCCCCAATGACTCCATAATCAGCTGCTGCAGGTAACCCTTGAGCTGCTGCAGGTAACCCTTGAGCTGCTGCAGGAGGGCTTCTAAGAGAGAGATACGCCCTTGAATTCCCTCGACAGGCAATTGGCAAGCACTAGCACTCACCCACTTGCGATGGAGGTCAAACTCCTTCCCCAGTGACTCCATGATGAGCTGCTCTGCTGCAGGTAACCCTTGAGTTGCCCCATCCCGTCAGGAGCCCACCTGCTGCAAGTTCGCACTCACCCGCTTGCCGTCAAGGTCAAACTCCTTCCCCAGTGACTCCATGATGAGCTGCTGCAGGTAGCGGCTGAAGAGCAGCAGGCTGTCCTTGTACGGTAGCACCACCATGTCCTGCGCGGTGCAGAGCGGTGTGCAGGTAGGTAGAGGGGTTACAAATAGGTTCCAAAGAGTTCAGGATGCGACAACTGCGTTACTGTCACAGATGGGTTAGAGAGCACCAGGTTACTCTTGAAGGGAGCACCACCATGTGCTGTGCGGTGCAGAGCGGTGTGCAGGGGAGGGGTGGTGGTGGAGTAAAGAGTACAACCTGAGATGCCATGCCAACTGAAACATGCAAAAGAACTGAATCAAAAACTGGGATATAGGGTGGAGTGGAGAGGCAGGGCTGACCTTGGAGCCGACGCCGTCACATGCCCAGTACCAGCAAAGCGCCAGGAGCGCTGCTGGGTTGCTGCGGATCTGAACAGGCGAACAGGGCAAGCAGGGCAGGGCGAGAAGGGGAAAAAGAGTGAG